TTGTTAGAGGAAGATCAGAACCACCCCGTTGGCGAGCATCGATAGAGTTGAATATCGATCGCCGGACGTTTTATCATAATGAAGAGCCATTATCCGTCGTTAAAGGTTGAAACGATGAATGAGCAATGAGAAGAGAGATATCATATCTTATACTCACACAGGCCCGCGGTAAAGCCACGTCTCGATTCATTTTGTATTATTCCAAGTTTCCAGCTCGCGTAAGATATTGCGCGCCCGTTAAATTCGCCAATAATTAACGTACCCCGCTATTATTAATGAACCAAGTTACATTGTCACACTTAGCTATGCCAGAGGCGGCGCGCAATTAGTTAGTTATTATCTAGTTATTTTAATGAAATTAACCTGTGGCGCGCGCGCGCGCGCGAGCGACGTCGAGCTGCCTGCCTGCCGCGTTTTCGGACGGTTGTGCGCGGCTGTACGGCTTTGTAATTAGAGTTAAAGCACAGGACGACGGTCATAAGAAGATCGGCAGGAGCCAAATGGTAATCGGTTGTGCGACTTTTAAATCCAGTCGGGGGGGCATTAATTAATGGTTATTCGAGTCGAGGAGCGCCGAATGCGCGGGCCAAAACTTCGCAATTAAAATCCAAGCAGCGCTGATAGTTCTCGGTCGAAACTATATAATCTCGAGAAGACTAGGCTCAATCACCCGGTCAACCCATTATTATATCCTGAGGCCATAACTTAGCCCAGCTTTCATGAACACCTATTATATAGCGTTGCTACTATACCGAACGCCCCAGTTCTGTCGCTACCTGTCGAATGGCACACGGTCGAAAAGATGTAATTGTTTCAGAAGCAAGACAATAATAGTGCGCGCGAGTTTGTACTAACTAAATGTTAGAATGTGTATCGAGAAGTAGGTTTCAAGAGACTAAATATAGGTTAAATTGATTCCGTTGAATCAGTAATCCGATTTGTCAACTCAAAACGGAGTTCATTTCTAATTACTACGAGAAACAGATTGAAATGACATTTAAACATTCACGATTGCACTCGCCACTCTGTTAATATTTTTCGCGGTTAAATAAGCAGCGAGATATCGGTCCACTCGCGCGCGGGGAATCCCATTTGAAATCCCGGTACACGCCTGATGCGAGTGACGGAAAGCCTCGGCGCGCTCGGTGTGCGGATATATCGCGTCACCCCGGGGGGGTGGGGGAGGGGAGTAAAAGGGTTAATGTCCGCGCGGCGCGTATCACATGTAAACCGGGGGCGACGTGGGTCTGGAGAGGCGTCGTTATCTCCGCATCGTGACGATTCAAGCCTTCCGGCATGAGCCGCGGCCGTTATCCGTCATCTTAATGCATAGCCGGAACACCAACCGACGCACCGCCGGCTTATAAACGGCGCGATTATTCCGCCCTGTCCCCACCCGCAACGGACTCCCCTATCTCCCCCTGTGTGGCCAACGCCATGCGCCTCTCGCCGCTCCCTCCCCCCACGTAAGCAATGTCGGCCGCCGTGGACGGGTCCGCGCGCGTGGTCTCTATAAATGCATCGATTTGAATTTCATGTCGGGCGAGCCGGCGCGCGGGATGAATAGTTTTCAATACCTTTCCTCTTGTCGATCCTTCCCCGATTCCAGTATACGCCGTTCATCGCGTATAAATCTTCCCCTCGCTCTCTCTCTCTCGCAGATGCTTCGCCATTCTTCGTAGAATTTCAGTAGTATAACTGTGTGTTTCCGCGATTACCGCGCGAAGGGAGCTGGTACGTTAATATTATACGTATAACTTATTTTAATATTATATATCGCCGTGTTGATAGAAAAGTTGACGCAAATAAAAAAATTAAAATTTTTGAGGTACTGACGGAAAATTGACCTCAAAAATTTCTAAAAAAAAAAAAAAAAAAAATACAAATTTTTTACTTGTGTCACTTTTCTCTATCAGCGCGGCGATATATTTGAAGAAACGTGATTGATCGTTGAGGAAAGCTCTTCCATCCGCGCAGTTGGCTAAGAATAATCACTATCGCTGCGCCGAGCTGTTTTACGTTATGATCGACAATTAGAACCCAAATAACCTGCATCGTCCCTTAATTAAGCAACTCTCAATTAATTCTCGATTGATGGAATGTAATTCAAACGTTGCAAAAGCCGCAGCGCACACGCGGTACATTCAATTGCAATTCGAGCAGCATCGCGCATGTAACAATTGTTACAATATTGCTTCTAATTGATCAGAAAGGTAGAATATTTGCAAACGATGCTATTTAACGATGCGAACTACGCGTGTAACGATAGAATTTCTTGTTTGTAACAATAGTCTACAATTAGATTAACAATAGAAAATACAATGTTATGTGTTGATATTGTTTTTCGTATAACTAATTCAATATTCATCTGTAATTATGTAATTGTCAATCCTTTGATGCAAAAGATGAAATATTAATAATTGTGCTAAAGGTGCGATATCACAAATTCTCAAATAATGGTAACATGGATTGTAATGCGAGACATAATTGCGTAATAATCGTAGTATAAAATTAAACATATAGCAAGCTTGTACCCCGAATATCAAGTTTGTGGTTTTCATATCTGTATCTTACATGCCGCGGTTTAATTTAGCCTTAACGAGCTCTATGAATTGTATAATTAAATCGTGTATTACTCATAAATTTTATATTTATTTATTTTATATTTATATCTTGTGTATGTAAGATATAGTAATAAATGTTATACTTATAATTTTACATCTATATTATTTAATTACATTAAATAAATTTTGTATGTATATATATTTACATATATAAGATATTTCATAACAATACAATTATAGTAATAAAAATACAATAATGAAGAGTAACCTAATATGCCGAGTGCTTTTTTACAGGACTTTGTCAAAAGCATTCCTTCGTCAACATTTTTCAGCAATTATAATTCATTGTGCAGCGCGCGTAACACAAGTAGCATTTAATGTGAACAAAGTAGCCCAGCACTTTCATTACAGTTCACAAAGCTAATGCCCTATTGTTTGAGACGCCTTTTCCGTTTACACTGCACAACGGCACCCTTTTCTTCGCGACTCTCTTATATTGGCCGCAGCGCTCTCTCCTACGGCTGTCTCGAATGCCAAACAAATATATGCTCGGGAAAAATTTCTCGTACAAAGCTTATTTATAACCCAACTTCTCGCGCACATACCACAACCGGAAAACGGATAAAAATGTAACCTTTTATTCTAATGAGAGTTTATGCACGAACTTTGCATGACAGTTACAGCAAATTCGTGAAAAGTTTGTCGCCGCGTATACACGTGGTGAGGGTCATATTAAATCTGCGTGATTATTTTGACGCTTATTTGACGAACAGAATTTACATCTACCTATGCGAATTCAATTTAAACGATTACGAGGCAAAAATCAACATTCGTCAGTTTAATACAGAAATTTCGCGTCACAGAATTTACTCGATATATTCGAGTGATATTATTATTAATCATTCGAGTATTTACATATTAATCGGAGAGCAAGGGAGAGCCTGATGAGCAATCGATCCTCGGAAACTTTATCAAATTCCTCTACGAGACGCCTCGTCTTCACGCGGGTTTCATTCCCCTAATTAGTGCTTCGCGAAAGCCATTACCTATATAACATTGTCGCTAAACCCCCGTTTCAGCTGTCGACAGCTGAACCGTAATTGCGAATAAAGACTACGAATAAGATCGTTCCCCCTAGCTTGTACCCCGATGAGTATTCATTTTTATACCTTTCCGCGTAATTTTACTAATTAATTAACTAATTGCTTCTCCTGGAGGACGGGAGGGATTCTTCAGGGCCGTCTGAAGTGCCGGTGTAAAGAGCGCCGGAGAGAGATAGAAATTCATTTAATTTTTTTCGTAGTTTGCTAACGAGGTCAATGGGTTAAACAACTCGACCCCCCCATTGTATGGCGCGGTTCTCTTTTATTCCAGAATATTTCTATGAGCAGTTTAATCCCGTAATATACCATTTCTTTTGTACGCTAATGTAAAATGTGTTAGTACCAACTGTAGTGTAAAATTAATTTTGTGGAAAAAATTAATAATATATATATAGCATACAGTCAGTGGTCGATTACGACCACTGACAATATTAAATTATTTTAATTTTAATATATTATATTAACCGTATGTAAAATTTACAGTTTTAACAACTTGACCTCGCATGACGGAAATATCTCAGACGACGTAAAAATGATGAAAATATTAAAGATATATACATATTAACGGTTATTTAAAACACGGCGTATTTCTATATATTATTTCAGTTAAGATTTTTTTTTATTTGACCGTTTAAATGCATCGGTAATATTTTCACAATTAATATTGCGAAACTGTCGCGTCACTTAAAATGACTTAGCGCCATTTAGATACTTCTTATCATGGTTGGGGCATTCGCGGTGCCTGTGAAATGGCCGCGCAGAATTTCGCAGCCAGTTCCTAACTACTTATTCATGAATTATTCTCATAAGTACGCCATAAAAACAGCATTTTATGATCCCTCAAAGCGCAACTTGAACGTTATAAATAAAAGTACATCGGCTGCTAAACGGATTATGTTTGAGCAACAGTTTAAATAAAATATAAAATAATAACCCTATATTAATAGCAATAAAATAAAAAAAGATATTACTATACTTCTTAATTTTTGGATATTTGCAGTATCTCGATTTCTTGAATTAATTTTATCGAGACCTTCATAACTAGCGTGTTGATTCATTAGAAAAATAAACTGTATAACCAAGATAAGAAATTGACTTCTTTTTAATGGTCGCATGAAAGTCTAGGTTTACTACAAAAAAACTTTATAACTGTATATCCATACTATTTAATATTATTTAAACAATATGAAGAAAAAAAAATGATTTTTGAAGAAATTTGTGAAATACACAAAGGTATGGCGGTAGATTTAATTGACACATTAACGATATGCTGTACTTCATTGAAAAGCTCGATCGATAGAGCGTTTACACGTTCCATAAAAATTCGAATTACCTTGTATCCGGCGAGATCTTGAACTACGCAGGAGAGAATGGCTTCCCTTCCCACCGGCGCGGTTACATTGGCTATTGGCTCCTTGAATTTAGGATCTGGAAGGGAAGATAAAATTGCATTGTTTTAGAAATAAAGTACATGTAATCGACCTGCCTCGTAATAAAAGAATCCATTTATCCTTAAAATAACCAAATGATATAAATACATCCTTTGAGAAGAACCTTTCAACATGTCGATACATTGAATACTTATGTAATTGTTTAGTATAAATATACACCGCTTCTAAATATTGTGTGTTTCACTTATATTGCATTTTAACTTATATATATATAAACTTAGCGAAAGGCAATTCTGTTTTAATTTATTCAATTTTAATTTAAAATAAATATAAGTGAAAATAATCAAATTTATTCTATCGATGTTAATTTATTCTTTCGATAATTTTTATTTAGATTTACCTACATTTTCTATTTAAAACGCATAAAATTGATTTTTAAAATCTATTTAGTGTTCGAGAAATAATGACCCAAATTAAATCAGTTTGCTTGTTCGTTAACATTAAAGTTATATAAATATATATACCTATTGTTATGTTTCATTCTAGATTTTATCGAAAGTTTAATCTTATTATCTTTCTTAAAATACTAAATATTTCCTGTAAGTATCATTTTATATTCCAGCAACATTCTATTAAATTAACTTCTAAATTACGTTATTTGTCACATTTAGCCTTATTCCACTTTAACGTCTTTCAACATTTACTATTTTACTATATTATTGATATGCATGATACATGTAGATATATAGGATGGCTCAAATAAAATATTACAGACTAATATCTCAGAAACTACTCGATAAAAATGAATTTTTACGATAATAATTTTACGATAGAATAATTTTCTTGTTACAAAGAAATCCTTTAAATGTGACACAATTGAATTTTGGGAGTCTATCTAAGGTGAGAGGAAGGGCAACCTTGAAATTTCAAATGATACCATATGAAAAAAGTAACATAATCGGATTCGACGTTAAAAGTCAGGCAACTGTTACTTAAAAACATTTTTCCTAAAATCGCAATATTAAATTTATGGATCATGAAATGTAGAGATATGTATATTGTACGGCTGCCTTATAAATCTAAAAATTAAATTTCTTTAACAAAATTATTTTATTAAAGATTAAAAAGATATCAAAAAAAGGATGTATCCTTTTTTTGAATATCTTGAGCAAAACGGTGTATCTTCAAATACCAAGCGTGAAGACGCTAATATCGTATGAGAGGCGCACCGGAAGAAATTATATCCAGCGATATATAAAATATGATATAGAGCGGCCGGGGAGAAAAATGGCCACGGCAGCACAGCGTGAAAGATAAATGCACGTTTGGATTGCCCGTTGCAGATTTATCCCCCCGGCAATTTAATGCGATATTATTGGATGCACTCGATGTGGCGTGCAATACGATTGGTTTGTGCGCGCCCTTGATCGGATATCGGTATCTTACGGCACCAGTAAAAGAGGCGGATATCATCGAATCACGAATCATAATGTGAGTGTTACGCGTAGAGCGTGGAGTAAAGGCCACCACACGTACAAAAATTTTAATCGTATATAACCGTAAGGTCGTAAGTATATTGACCGATCACATATAGTCGAACATTCTAAAACGAAAGCTCGCAATTTTGATCGTGATTGCTCAATTTCTTTACGGCCTTATGATTACGACCAAAATTTTTGTACGTGTGATGGCCTTAAGGAAAACGGATGATCATGTGTTTGCGAAAACGGGGAAGATCGATGAAGGAGGGGAAGGGAAGGGGGGAGAGGCAGTCCAAAGTGCAAGTTAGTCATAGGCAATTTGGTAACTTCGGACGTATAGAGCTATTCAATCTTCCATCAAATGTGCATTGTACCAAGTGCATTGATCATTCGTAATGTCGAACGTAAGTATATAGGACGCGCGGTATCGCGGAATGCAATCTGCACAATACAGAGCTTATGACAATGACCTCTACACAAATTTCAATTATGACTACCTCGCCGAACCGGGCCGCACGTTATATCAATAAGAATTTTCGCGCGCGCGCGATAACGCACGAAATTGAATTTGATGGCAAATTGTATAAAGTACAAATTGATTTTTATTCGGATCGATAAGTTTTATTATATCATCGTTATTGAAGCGAAATAAATTGGTTAAACTTGAACGTGCACACACACATGTGTAATCGCGGGAGAAAAAAATTAAATTAAATCTCCCCGCACCATTCGGCGTATATCTTTACAAAATGTGAAAATGTACAGAGAGAGAGAGAGAGAGAGAGAGAGAGAGAGAGAGAGAGAGAGAGAGAGAGGGTAGCGCGGCGCGCAAAGAGAGCGATCAGTGCAAAATGTATGTATTCGATTAAAACGAATTCGCGGCGACAAAAGTGTGCGGTATCATCCCGATATACGTGCGCGATATACACATGCACGATATCGCTCTCTTCCGGCAACAGAATTGTAAATAAAACACAAGTACATCGGGCGCGCAGTCACAAAAGCGTCAGGCCGTTCCTCCGTTGACGATAACGCGCAAACGTCAGCATCGATCACCGGCCAAGGACATGCCCGGCTCACCCGTGTCGGGCGGTAGGATTCACCGCCGGTATCCACGAAATTATTCCGGCGACTGCATTACGATATTGTCCATCAAATCTCGCCCGAGTCAACGCACACCCACACGGCGCTCTCCGACAACGGAACGGCAAACGTGTGGACTCGCCGAAAGAGAGAGAGAGAGAGAGAGAGAGACCCATTAAAAGGTCAACATCCATCAAGGGCCAAAAATGCTCTACGGAGATTGTTTGCGAGGGCCGTGGAGCGGTCGGAAGGGGAGCGCGAGCGGACGGGGGAAGCTAGAACTGGCGTGAACATAATCGTAGATGGCTCCGTAATGGGAGCATAAGGGAACCATAATTCCGGCGGAGAGTTTCCCGTCCGCCGGCGTAGTGGTCCGGCCGGTGGTGGTGGCTCTCGCGGGAAATTCGGCCGGTACCAAAGCCGCCGCTTCGGCCTTGCCGGGCATTGATGGATCGGACCTACCCGCAGAATGGCCGTCCCGCCGTCCGAAGTGTTCCGGCGAGAGCACCGCGCCGAGAGGATGTGAGGGCGAACGGCGCGGATTTTTTTTTTTCTTACAGGAAATCAGGAACAAGAAGCGCGCGGCATGGCGGAACGACTTCTGAATGACGTACGACTCTCGCCGTCATCCGTACTCTCCTTTATTCGCGAAGAATGCGCGAGCTCGACTCTCATCTGCATCGAGCCTCTCGATCCGCCTGATCAATTGGATGAAATTGCGTGGAGCCACTCGCGATACGGACGATATGTATATGACGGATCGTCTTCCGAGCTCAGGCGGAACGCTGTCGTCTTCTTATACTCCGGTAACAACTCGCTATTTAATCAAGAAGCTCTAGGAAGCTAGTAACTAATGGCCAAGAGCGAGTAACTAATGGCCGTGAATAGAGAACGTAATCGATCGTCCTGGAGACAGCGGGACGGTGTATAACGTGATATTTATTCTTTCGGGATTATCGTAGATTCAATTCCTATCGAAGTATTGGAGTGTATGAAAAGCCCGCGGCTCTGCCTCGTCACATTTAACTTGTCGCGATCTCTATCTCTCGGGGTTTGTGTTATAAAAGTCGCGCACCGCATTTACTATACCTTCATCGTATTTGCATCGCAAATCTCGAACGATAACGTTCTCAACGACTTTGGAGTTAAACCGCCGCCGCCGCCGCCGCCGCCGTTGTAAATTTTGCCAGAAGCGATTATCTACGCGATACTTTTGTCGATTAACCTTCCGGAGCCAGAGACAAAATTGCCGACATCGACGGATTCGGAACGTACGCGGGCCGCCTGCGATTTTTCGCGACCCTCATACGACCCGGTCCGTCGCTTATCCCGCATATTGTCGCCTATGGCATGGCATTTTAAGTTATAGCCGACGAAGCGTATGTAAGTAATCCAATAGTCGACTATTTCGGAAAAAAAAGCGAGCAAGGAACGGGCGAGCGCACGCGAGAGGTTTGGACGCACGAGGTTGGAGGGCGATAAAAAATATCACGAGCGTTCGCCGATGCACATCGTCACTAATGCACTTTATGGCGACGAACGTCAAAATATCAACGTCCGGATTTCGAGCACGAGAGAACCGGTTACATTAAAAAAAAAAAAAAAAAAAAAAAATTTCCGTCCGCCCGGCGACATTTATACGATTCGAAATAAGTTTTCATTTACGATCTCATTTATCTAGGGTACGACCGCTGGCATACAATTCGGAAAAAACAGTGGTATAAGCGCGTACGTCATTGAGAAAGAAATATGTTTTCGATACGGCGGGTGATATACATATAGAGATGATACATAAAAATGAACGTATAAAAACGACGTGTAATTAAAAACCAGAGACAAAGATGGAAAGATAAAGAGTGAAGCTTCGTTGCGAGTGAAGTGATATTAATGTCCTTATAATTAATCTCTCTAAGCGCACATCCTCCGCGTTATATTAATAATACTCTCTGTCCGTAAATAAACCGCAACCTTGTCTATCGCTATCGCTCGTGAAAAGCCCGCATAGCCGAGAGCCAGTGAACCGCGTTGAAACATCTCCCCGCAACGTGGCATTTCTCACCTCGGCGACCATGCTCTCTCTCTCTCTCTCTCTCTCTCTCTCTCTCTCTCTCTCTCTCTCTCTCTCTCTCTTTTCTCCCTCGATTTTCGTCGCTTCGGTACTTGAAGTGGAAGCGCGCGCGCGCTCGGGCTCGGAGCGAGGTCAAACGGAAGAATACACGAGAGATCACGAAGGAATCGTTGATGGGTCTCTCCTCCCCGGCGGAGAAAAGAATTTCGGCGAACGCAACCGGAAAGTCCCGGGCTCCTCTCGCAGAGAGATACCGAAAAACGTTATCATCATCGCAAGTGGACGCTGAGAAATCGACGGTCCAGTTTCCAGTCCGTACGCGCGGTTGCAACACGCCGCGGAATAACGAAGAACTATAACGTTTGGTCCGACGACCGCGCGCTCGCATGCTCTTACTTATTTTGT